TGCAAGGCCTCGGCGATTTTGGTGGTCTTCATGGTAAGCAACGGTACTTAGTGGCAGAGGGGGGTTTGCCACTACCTTTTCTTCTCTCGTCTCGCTAATTCGGGGAGTGTTAGTGTGTACTTCTTACATTTTTTGATTAGTAAGTGCCATGGCTGTGTCTTTATGTAGTCGCAGGTAATGAGTGCTCAACTGAAGATAGTTTCTTGTTGATTCTCGCTCTTAAATAGCTGCAGAAGATGCAGAAAGAAAAAGTAAACCTGCAAAATGAGCTGACTGACTTTGAGGAGCGTATAGAAGCAATGACATCTCATTTGAAAAACGTAAGACAGGAGTTCAGCTTCACCCAGGTAAATGGCTACCTCGAGCAGAACCGTTTTATCAGACAGACCCCTGACCTGAGCATCTTTCTGCGGCTGGTATCCCTATACGTTTTGCCACCTTTGTTAGAGATTTGTCAGGGCTTATCACAGGAAACAAAAGTTAAATTATGTATCTCAGTGATACTGGGTGATGGCCATTAAAAAGACCAAGATCAAATGACTGCACCTAGAAGAAAGCCAAGAATGCATTTTAGAATCCTTTATTAATGGAGACTTCTGTAGATGAAAAGTAGAAGAAAAACAAAACAACAGTGTAATTTATAATCTTTATAATGGTCAAGAGTTAATTGTGGAATGCTAACGAAGAGGTAATTCATGGACGTGAAAAATGAAGTGAGATGGTTAAGGTGCAAGTTTCACTTCTGCTCTGAGTTAATTGGCCAAAATGGGTGGTTCAGATTCCTCAAGACTCCCGTGACAAAGCTGCACACCTTTCAGGTAAAATATCCTAGGTGAAAAAGTCTTAAGAAACTCCCCTGCAGCTGAACAACTTTTTAATTTTTTTTTTTGGTGCTGGAGTCAAGTTTTAATCTGCACATAAAGAAGGACATAGGACATACTAGTCTCATATTTAAGAGAAGCTTCTGGTAAGTAATAGATTTGTTATTATACAAGGAAGAAACGCCCTGTTAAATCACTTTTGCCAGATTGAGTAGACAGTACAGAGTTGCTGCTATAGGCCAGCCTGGTGCTTTTTCATCTCTGCACAAAGCAATAAAATTATTTTTTTGCTGTGCTTCATGAATCTGACATAAAGCTGCTGGTGATCTTGAGACTTGGATTTTGATTTTGAAAGATTAAGATTCTGAATCTTGGGTGAAATATCTTTGAGTTGAGTTTTTAGGGCTATAAATGGTTAATCTGTGGGTATCTGATAGAATATAATGAGGGTGTGTGTATATATATGTATAAAAGAATATGTATATTTGAGATACTAAATCAAAACAATAAAATTCCTCTGAAAATTCCTATACCTACATGACAAAATCATACCATCTCTGACTTGGGATTTAGCTGTATGTAAAAAAGTTGGGATTTTCTTTGTTGATATATGCCTCTTGTTTATTGTAAAAAGCTGAACTTTGTTATTCTCTAGTCTCTTTACAAAGCCAAAGAGAATGAAATTGAAACTGAACAACACTTCAAAGCCCTTGCTGAGAGAGAACATGGACGTCTCAAAAGTGAGCTTAAACGACTGGAAGATGAGATGGTTTCCTTAAGAGAAAAGAAAAACAGTCAAGAAGTAAGGTTTACATTTTTTGTACGAGAACACCTGTATTGCAAGTCGATTTTATGACTTGTCCTCACTTGCACTTACAGATATGATAATATAAGTCAAGAATAGATAATTATAATTAAATCTTACAAACTATAATAAATTATCTGGATGTGCTTTTCCCTGTGTAGGCAACTAAGAGTGACACTAAGGATCTCTTTGCGTAGGCTGGTCGAGACTTAGCAAATGTTAACTAAGTATTGAAAGACTGCAGTTCTTAATGTTCTTAGTGCCAGATACACAGCCACACATCCATATCACCATCTTGTTAATTCTCGCAGGTATTTTCTTTATGGTTTAAAAATTAAATTGTTGGTGGCAAATTTTTTTCCCCACATAAAATAAATCTGGGGCATGATTTTGAGATCAAAAATTTGCTTTACATTTTAAAAAAAAAAAAAGTAATCTAATGCTATCTAATTACAGGTGGGTTTCCGTTTAATAGAACTGTCTCTTTTTTTCTTTCTACAAATAATTTAAATGATGTTTGTTTGTTTGTTTGTTTTTATTTGCTCTCTTTCTTCTCAATAAGTGTCTTTGATCTCCAGTCTCTTGGAATGGGTCGCATGATGAAGGTATCCTTGCTATTCAGTTGGATCCAGATTCTCTCATATCTGTGTCAGGAAGTCTCTTTGCAGTCACGTGCGGCCATTTGTAAACTGATATGCAGGACAAGGATCTAAGAACTGGGCCTTAGTGTGCGAGGGAGAAACCACCCTGTGATGCCTCAGATCGGTTTATTGTGTGGAATAAATATCCCACGTATAAGTATATCTCACCAGAGGTTGACTTTTCTGTTTAAAATTATTTGCATTTTAAGTTTGTGGTAAGTTAACGTCATGTTTCTTTAAGACTAGGATGTGTGTTAGGATTTCTCAAGTATAATACACAGTTAATAAAAAAAGAAAACTAGCAATTCTGTTGACAACAAGATGCATATAAACTTGTTACAGTAGCTTGAACTGGTTGTTTCAATTACTATTCAAAGAAAATATTAGACACTTTATATTAACCCTTTAATTTATCTCTACTTTTATTAGAATACTATAAATAAAACCACTAAGAAGTTGGAAAACTTAAAACAACAGATGAACTGTGATGAGGAAGTTCTGGAAAGCTGGATAAAGGAATCAAATCGTAAAGATAATGATACTATCACAATCCAGAAGTATGCACAACAAGATGAAGGGAAACTAGGAGTAAGTAGAAATGACAGCAATTTTCAGAAACAAAACACTTTGGCTTTTGAAGACTTTCCTATGTTATCAACTTGGGTAAGATGGAGACAAGATTTTGTACAAGGGCACTTTTAAACTGGTTTCCACTTAGCACAACAGTGCAATTCCGTATGAGGTTCATTTTAAAGGTCAGAGAGAACGGCTTTTAGAAGAAGTGAAAGGCATAATTGAAGACATAATTCATCTAGGTAAAATTGAAGTTTGAGTTTTTCTGAGAAAGTGCACAAATGGATAATAAAGTCTGGAAAACACTGCCACTGAATGAAGAGAGGAGTTTCTTCAGACACGCGTGCCAAATATGGACAAATAGTGTAGATTTTCCCATTAGAACTGAATTTGTTAATACTCTCAGAACAAAGTATGGCTATTTCAGTAAAGCTGCCTAGAATAATGAAAGATGGTATAAATAGACACTCAATCACAAGTTCAGGCTTTATAAGGGTTATTTCTCAAGAATAATACTAATTTAGAGATAAGTATCCCTGGTTAATATGCTTTTGAGCCTTTAAACGCAGGGAGGAGAAAACTGATTTTTACTCATTAAATACTTAACCTCAAAACTTTAGCTTATACAAACAGTCTCACTGATATCATTTATGTTGGCCAGTCACACGGCATAGTAGGAAGAGTAAAGTGAAACAGCTGATGCTGAGGATACCAGGTACACATTGATACATGGTGGTGGGTTACTTTGGCCTAGCTCCAGTCTGGTCCCAAGGGCTGACAAGAGATTATGGCCTCTTGTATGATCAAAAATTTGGGAGGTTAGATTCTTAGGGTTTTTTTGATCTCTAAAATACGATAAAATTGATGCCTCACTAATTCCACCCCTAATTATAGCACAGCTTTAAGAATTTATAAGACATTATATATTTGGTTTCAAATGTGTTATATTTTTGTCTCCTTTCATTTTAGGCATTAACCCTTCAAGTAGAAAAGTTGACCACGCAAGCAAATCAGAAGCGCAGAGCTCTTGATAATGAGCTTACAGAAACTATAACGGCTCAGGTTTGTGCTTAAGGTTCTTGAAGATACCTTGTTATAGATGAAATGTTTAAAATTGGAAATCATTGGGGTGCTTTCTTTTAAACAGATAGAGCTTGACAAGACAGCTGAAGATTTTCGCAGAGTTCATCAGGAAAGGCAAGAAGTCATCAGGCAGTGGGAGAATGCAATACAGCAGATGCAGAAAAGGGATCAACAGATTGATCATTGTGCTTTGGTAAAACCGCTATAACTGATCCGTATCAGTATATCAGCCTGCTTTTGTATCTAGGATACTGATAAGAATTTTGCCAGTCACACATAGAATGCTTGGGTCTTTTATATGTTCAGCGTTCTCTTTGTGTTTACCTCTGTGTTGTGGTAAGGTGTTTCAAAGTTCAGATAGTACTGAAATATAATTAGAATTTTAAAATTTATTTTGAAAGCAATATCTCTCAGTGTAAGTAATTGGTGCTCTGCTTGATGCTATGCAAGGTTTAATTTTCAATCTCAAGGTTGCTGGAAAATGCAAAAGCATGCCAGTTTCAGTATTTTCTGTCACCTAAGAATACAAGAAGCAACAAGATGGAGTGTTATTTCTTAGAGTGGAAGGACAGTCAACAGCAAGGAGAGGATTCTGTGTCTGGGACGCAACATAAAAGAGAAAATAGAACACTTATTATTGAAGGAATTAACGTTGCTACCTCTGTGAACTAACATTTACGTCAGATTTATGACAAATAATCACATTATGGTTAAAAATTGGTCCTTAAGTACGTTCTGCAAATGGAGAGAAGTAACAGCACTCCTCTAATAATAAAAAAAAAAACAGATCCTGTGAGGCATTGTGAGTCAGTATTATTTTCTAAAAGATACAGTCTTCATTGGTTTTGTCAGTGTCTTACGCACAGATGGTAGAATGGCAAAAGGTACAAATAACATAGATTTTATCCTGGTTGTGTCAAAAGTGTGAACTCCCCGGAAAGTTCTGCAGGGCAGTAGAACAGATGCACCAGAAAAAGCCTGAAGGATCAGTGTAGAGAAAAAATTTATAAATGTGGATTCCAAAGTAATGATTTTTTTTTTTTGAATTTGGGGGCAGGGGTGTAGCATAATTACAGAGCAGAAATATGGTTGAAACAGGCTTAAGATACAACCCTAAAAAAAATGTAATAGCAGAAAATGACAAGCCAGAAGAAATACTACCAAACAGAAAACATAATGATCTAATTATCTAAAATATTTTGGATTTCATAGTATTTCAGGTCAGAAGATTCCTGCAAAGAACAACCAACAAACAGATATTTAAAAAAACCCCAACAACAACAACAAAACCAACGCAGCTCTGGCCAACCTTCCATATATTAGTAGTCCATAGAACAGTCATACTGAAGCTGTTGTAAACAGATTTTTTTTTTCTTTTTTAACATTAGAACTACAGTATAATTTTCCCAGTAGCTAATGTTTTGCTTAACCTTTCAAAATACACAATTTTCACTGAATAGCTATAAATCTGTCAGCTAAAGTAAGCATCACTACTGTTGGTAATTTTCCTCTTGCATTTCCTCCATTTCAAGTCTATCTGAAGTTTTGTTCACATAGCTATTTTTTCCCCATTCAATCGATCAAAAATTATTTTTATTTCATACAAGTTTATAGGATCATGGTTTTTCTGAAATTATTGAAATATTTTGGAAGTTTCCAATCGAAAAAAATTGCAGTATTTGGTGTTGTGATGTATTAGTGGAGTAAAGTAATTTAAGAACAATGTGATAACTGGGCTGTCTCATGCAAAGAGTAGGCTTAACAGCAACTTATCTTCTGGTTTGTACCCTTTATTAATCTAACGCATCTTAACTAATGCAAGCAAATCTAAAATGTTTTTATTCTGATAGCTAATAGCAGAGGTAAAGCAGGAGATCAGAAAGAAAGAAACTGTGCTGAAGGAGAAGACCTCCTTTTTGGTAAATGAAACTCTCAATAATATGGAATATGAAAAGAAAATTTCTTCAGCTGAACGGGAAGCTACCAGCCTCCGAAATGAGTATCAGACTCAGGATACTTACAGAGTTCAGCTGCAGGATGAGGTAAGGATGACCAAACAGTTCAGAAAAACAGACTGAAACTGCAACTTTTAACTCTCATTTTTGACTAGGTGGAGGAAATACAGGAATCGCATTTGCTTTTCTCTGTTTTTATACTAGGCTCCTAGTAATTCAACAAAATGTCTACTCATGATTATTGGGACCTGAACCCTCAATCCTTTCACTGATAGAGGTGAAGAGATTAGCTTGTATTCTCTGTTGTGTTGGTATAAAATGGATGAATTTTCTCTTACATGGTGTAACACTATTAGGTGCTTCAGAAGGAGGCGTGTCTTGCCATTAGCATACGTAGACTGTGGTATTGTATAAAGATGAGAGAAATTTCTTCTGGACTCCAGACAATTCCTGCCCTGTGCTCTCAGAAGTGAGTCTTGATGGCCCTTGTAGTCAGGTTAAAGTTCTTGTGAGGGGGGAAAAAAACCCAAACTACCCCAAATGCTTTCACATAGGTTTCTGATCAAGAGGCAGTAGGATAGCGCTGCTTGATGCTGTCCATACTTTGTTACTTATATTTAATTTGCACTTAAAGCTGGGACTGAGCTGCACTGCTTGGTTATTTAACAGCCTGCAGAAGTATTTCTAAGGTAATTCAAGTGTCACGGCTCTATTGAGAAGGGATACACTTGTACTACCTGAGTAAGCTTTCTCTTAAGAAGAAAACTTAACATTGGGCCACTGAGCAAGCTTGGTGATTTTTTTTTTTTTTTTTTTTAAAAAACAAACAAACAAACAAACAAATCCCTCCAAAACCACCTGCATCTGCTGTTGCCTTAACTTGGGATAGCTTTTCTGTAGCAGGTGGTTCATAAACTGATACCTTAATTAAACTGTAGGTAGCTCAAACAAGGTGTAGGCTATTAGATTACCCTATAATTCATGCAAACTTGAGGCTTCACAGAATTGGTAGGTTTTCATCTCCAAGCTGTGAGATTCTTGCTTGATGTTTTTCACAATTAATACTACATAATATGATAATGAGAACAGTCTCCCATTGTTAGGTGTTAGAACATCTGTGGTATTCAAGTGAGAAACAAGGAAAGAAACAGGCTTACCGTTTCAGAAACAACTTGTGACCTCCCAGTTTCTCATTCTGGTGCAGAGAGAGACCTGCTGTACATACCCTCGTTCAGGATTCTTCATCTGTAAAAGTGAAAACAATTACGTGATACTGTGAAGACTAATGAGCTACTGATTGTATTCCTATCCTGTTTAGTGACTGCATGCTGTCATGTATTTTTTACCAAATTAAATGTCTGTGTATTTTTGTCACAGTGTTCCTTTATCTATCCAACAAAGTTTGAATTAGAAATATTTGGTAGATATGTAAGGGCATCTGTGTTCACAAAAAAACGCATCAGTCAGCTGCATAAAAACCATGAGTGGAACTGTAAAACCATGGTTCCACTTACACAGATGCTCTTGGAAAAGAGTTGCAGCCCACAGGACCTTCATAATTCATTCTATCTTCTTCATTACTAGGTATTTTGTCCCAGCATTCAGATTATGTAAATTAGCCTGCTGAGTTTACTAACTGTGCCAATTTGCAGCACTTCTAATTTGGAAAACACTGTTAAAAAGAAATTAAATATTTTCCAATAAATAGGTCCCTTACAAGTTTAAATATCCTAGCGTGTACCAAAGTAAATAAGGACTCAGTTGCTCCATTTTGTAATTTATTAGCTGGATGCTTTGAAATCCATTGTGGACAGAACTGCTTCTGATCTAGAGTCTTTGAGAACACAAGTAACCAATCTGAAGAAAGAAATTCAGAAAAAACAAGCCAGGTAAGAAACAGACCTTTTAAAATCTCATTTGTAAAGATTAGTAATACAATCAAATCCTTGAGCTAGCAGAGAACCTTAAATAATGTTGATGATTAAAGCCTCAACTTCCTGGTTATTTCATGTCCTGCATAGTTTCTGGCACTGGGCAATTTAGGAAATACTCCTGAGTAATCCTTGTTTTTAAAGGGCGTGAAAAAATCAGTTAGGGCCTTGGTTAGCATAGGCTAAAGTTCAGCCTGCTTCATTAGGCAGCTGCTCAGGAGGGTATGCTGTGGTATGTTTTGGCAGTGTTGTATATGCAACATATATTTAACTTGTTAAATCACGTACTTTTGTTTAGATTAAGCTTTCTTAAAGAAAAAAATGCAAGTCTTTCCAGTAAGCTGAAGCTTGTGACTGAGGAGACACTCAGTTCAGAAGATAAAGCTTTGAGGATGGAAGAAATGCTGAAGGAAGAAGAAAAAATTGTCAAGGTAAAATGTTTTTCATGGTTTCTGCAAAGGAGGATTCATTTGAATTTGCAAGGTCTATCTAGAACAAACACTTATGGATTAAAATGGAACAAAAGGAGGATTCATTTGAATTTGCAAGGTCTATCAACAAACACTTATGGATTAAAATGGAACGTAAGTATTAATACAGCATGTTGCTGTTTCATCAAACGATGAAGTAACGTGCACGTAGATACATCAGTATCTGTGCTGGGAAACCTCTGGAAGAAAATAAGTGGTCCTAGTAATTCAGAAGGTGGTGTCCCTGTATATTAACATAAGATACTGGAACTGTCATTGTGGAGATCAGATCTAAAAGCAGTGTTCTGACTGCATCAGGGCACCGAACAGGGCATTTACCTCTGACATCAGCTAGCAGCTGCTTACAACTTCTTGGCTAGACTGAAATCAAAAGTTATTTACTGGAACGTGGCAAATTTTATTATAAAGATATAGTAATGTTTTGCTTCTGCTTTGTAGCAATACTGAAAAATTTCAAAATTTGTATTTTGCTTGGCTCTTTTGGAAGTTTGTGTCTAAAATTCTGGTATATGTGCTGCTGAGGAGCACGGGCCCTTGAACTTTTATCAGTTTCCCACCAATAAGGCTGTTCAAGAGTGGGGATCTTGTCAGGGTGACTTTTTCACTGAAAACATCTTGGCTTTAGTAAAACACCACCAAAACCTGCAAGGAGCTATGATTTTGGCAAACTGGGATTAAAAAAGATTTCGAAGTCTTTTAATCAGATCTGGCTGGCCTAGTCTCCTCTTCGTTATTTTTAATTCTACTGCATGGTACTCTGACACATCTAACTTGTTGTGGACTATTAAATAATTACTGGTTCACTTCAGATTTCATTTTCATGACAAAGATTTTGATCTGAGAAGTGGCATGTACAAGCTGTAATATGGTGACTGTTTTTTTAACATGTCTAATAATACTTTTTTTTTTTTTTTTTTTAAATTCAAACCCCACTTCTTTTGTTGCAAATTAAGTATAGGATAATGAATTAGGATTTTTTTCCTTCATCTGATGAACTGCAAAGGGCTTTTGACAAAATGCAATCACCTGAACTTTCCCACATTTCAGAAAATGTTTCTACTATTTTGTTACTAATTAAAGTATTTTACTACTTAGCTGGTAACTGAACTTGACACTTTTTTTTTTTTTTAACCTTTTATTGGACAGTTGAATATTGGATATACTGCAGCCGCCTTTACTGTGAAATGACCAGGTTAAATTACTGTGGCAGCAGCTGTTCCCACACAAGTGACAGCAAAGTTGTATCTGGGCATACCACTGTATACTTTTTTTTCCTATTTTGTGTTTCCTGTAGCACGCATGCAGTAGATTGGGTGTTATTTTTCAAACTTACTAACTCCACAGACATTAACTGTACACTTTAAATACGCATACAGAAACTAGAGAGGGGATGTCTATACTTTATAGAGTTTCTTAAATTCCAGGCCATACCAACTGTTTTGGTTTTTCAGATAATTTGAAAACAAGTTGTAATGATATAACATTTCATTAAAATGAAAACCTTATTTGCTTCCCCTGAAGACTGTTAGCAGGGTGGCTAAACCATTGGCAGGGTTTCTTTACTTGTGTCTGTGGCGGATAACCTAAGATGACATTGAGCTTGGCAGCTCCACAGCTTCAGGGTAATATTTTAACTAGGATGAACTGTTCTTGAACAATGTCTGTAATGTATTAGTCAGAAGCATGCTTTCCATCACCATTAGACACACATGGCTATTTGCTGCATCTATTAATTTACTGTGAAGAGATATTTACAGGAACAATGCGGATGAAATGTCACCATTTGGTGCTTTAGTTCTGTGATACCTCTCCCTCTTCGATCTGTGGCAAAATACTGTTGCACAGAGAAGCTTATTGAATATCTTATCTTTATTAACAACCTCACTTAAAGGCAGAGAAACAATTTCTATTAAATAAATGAATTTAGATATGCAAGAAAGACTACAAAATGAAGATCAAATCGTGATCCAGTTTTAGTAGACGCATTCATCGTTGTCATTAGCTTCAGAAATACCACTAGGAATTGGGCACATGCATAAAACCCGTTTACTTCTGAAATCAAATTCCTTTGTTCAGGAGTGATCCAAAGCCCACTGACATCGGTGTGAAATGCTACAGGCTGTATCGATTTCATATTCAACTTACACCTGCATTTTACTTCAGAGTTTTGGATTTGGAGTTGCACTTACAGCAAGTTCAACTACAAAAAATTCTCTTTGGCAGAATGTAATTATGCACGCTCAGAGAAGGAGCTAAGGTATCTTTCACCGTTAGTAAAGCCAGCAAGATGGTTTACACACAAATTTCACAATGTATACACATAAAATCAAGAATAAGCACATTTTTAATCAACGTAGAAAAGTGAAGGTGTGTTGCCGTATTAATTTAAATGTGCATCTTCAAACTTTGTACCAGACTTGGGCTAAACGTAAATGGGTGTTTTGGAACAGGACTGTGATGCCACGCCACTCGATTTGGAGATGTACCTTACAGGAAACTGGCATTGCTTTGAGCTATGGAAGGGCTTGGCTTATTTTGGGTGGTGGTGGGGAGCAGGTAGAAAGAGGGAGGGAAAGAATGAAGTTGTCTTACTTGGTAGGGTTATAAAAAGAAAATAATCTCAATTTTGTTTGTTTTCAGTACATTTCAGGATGCCTGAAATGGTCAGCATTGTCTTACCGTACCAGACCCTACTAAAACCTCATTTCCTGCGCTGACTTAGGAGTTAATGGCAGCTTACCTCTGAGAACAAGGAAGTGATTTTAAAATGTGTAATTAATTTTTCAAACAAAATTATTCCAACTTATATAAACACACATACATGTGCATACACACAGAGTTACAGACTTTATTTAAACCATTGGAAAGCTTTGTATTATATTTCTCTGTAATATATTTGTATTATATTCACATATACTGTCATCAGTCAGGAGCATTATTTTTTTTTTTTTTTTAAAGGATGACAGGAATTTAGTTTTCTGAAAGGCTGAAAAGAGTAGCATTCCCATAATGGGGAAAAAAGAAAAGTCATGTAATAGTAGGGTAGGATCCAAGCTGGAAAAAAAATTACTTTCTCTTTAAGTCAAAGACTTTTCTTGCCAACCATTTTGAAGACCTATGAAATTGTGTGTTAATAGTAATGGATATAGCATTGAAGTTTATTAATCTTCCTATATATGATTAATAAAGGCAAATAATTCCTCAGAAATTACTTCTTATGTGAATAATTATTTACTACTTAATGATTAATTTGTCACCAGGAAAAAGAAACAGAAATGAACCAGTTAAAAGAACTACTTTTCAAGAAGACTCAAGAGTTAAAGGTGCAGAAGGATAAGGAGAAGTGTGTTGTAGCAGAAATTGAGGGAGGTCGAACATCGCTTAAAAATCTGAAGAGTCGACTGCACAGACTCGATGCAGATGCATTAAAGCAACAAGAATTAATATATAACCAGGTAAAATATTAATGAACTTTCATACTATGATTGTTTCTTGGGTCTAATGAGAGTAAATTGCTTGAGTTCTGCAATCATTGTCAATGTCTTGCCATTTTGGAGATGCCATGGAGTATAATTTGAAGTCTGTATTTATTTCTGTCTCTAGATGTATTGATAAAATTGAAGTAACTGAAACTTGCTACAGTATTACCTACATTAGGCACTTGTGTATTTCATTATTTTTTGGATTTGCTGCTTTTCCCACTAATTTCTCAAATCAGTTCTTTACTTTGATCCCTCTGAGCCACGGACACCTCCGGGTAAATTTTTAAAGCAATACAAGAGGTACATGCCAAAATCCGGTTATTTAGTAATTGGATTTTGTGCATATTTCCAATGCAGCACTTTGAAAATGTTGCTCTTTTGTATCAGCATCCGCTGGTAACAGCAAGACGGCAACTCCAGTGTAAGCCTCCCTACAGCACACTGTGCTGAGCGCGCTTTGTTACTCTTCTAGAAGATTACTCCTGCACCATCGCTGCACATCAGTCGTCTAAGAATATTTTGCTAATGAGGTCTATAAGCCATAAATTATTATAAAACAATAGCTTAATTGGGTGACTGTCCTAAAGCCAACATTCAGATCCAAGTTTATATCCAGTGTTTTAGCTTTATAGGAAGGCTATAATTGCTTATCTCAGACTATTAATTATCTTAAATTATTTTAACAGGATTTTTATATTCAGCAAGTACAGAGACGGCTGTCACGGTTAGAAGGAGAGGTTAATGCAGATGAAAAACAAGTTTTGGAAGCAAAAGTTGCTGAACTTAAGAAAACCTTAGAAGAAAAGAAAAATGCATATGATATTTTACATGCGCAGCACAAGAAACTTCAGGTAACTTCTTCAGACTATGAGGTTGACTGCGTAACATCTAGAAACCTCAGTGAATTAAGTAGAATTGGGTCTTATCAATTAATAACTTGGTATTAGATTAAAAGATATCTGAATTCTGTGTAACCTGAGTGAAAAAATTCATACGTTCCCAGAAAAATAGGTCATTGCCACACAACTGGGGCACCTTAGCAGGGAGACAAGCACTGAAATGTTGGAAAGGCGAGCCCAGCTTTTGTGTCAAGGAGTGACTGACTGCTTACACGTGTCTGAATTTATCTTTAGGACTGTGTAGAAATAGGAGAATGTTAATCTGTGCTGCTACTATATTTGCTTTTATATTTGTCATAAAATTGTAAGTACAGTTGCATTTGAGATTGTACAAAGTAAAATTACTGAAGGCGCAGTGTTTGAGTTAGCTGGCCCCATCCTGATGCGTGATTCAGAAATACTATTTTTCTGTCTTTATTCCCATGTGAGAATTTTGCATATATGTGCTTGTTCTCTGGTTTTCCGCTATTCGGTGGCCATCATTAATTCTCTAAAAAAACACACTTACCTTTCTTGTAGATATGAACAGGTCGGCTACTCTGTAGCCAATTGATAATTTCCTATTATAAGAAACGTATTTGTTTGTTAATCACTGTATCTTAGCACGTTTTGAAAGCTCTCTTCAAAGAGAAACCATATAAACATGAAAGTCAGGTTTTTAATAACATCACAACTGGCTTCTCAAAGGGATAGTTAAGAAAAAATTCAATTAATTTACTGAGGGGAAGAAACTGCTTCTAGGAGAGCCCTTTAACTGGAGATCCATGCAATAACAAGGTTTAATGTTGGGCAACTGATGCCCACAGTGCAGTTTTGAGGAGATGCAAGACTTGAGCAGTGAGTATAATCAAACACTGGAACACTCCTCCAGGAATTTATTCATACTCTGCAGTATTATCCAAGACAGATGGTTTTAGATGAACTATGAATATCAAAGATTTTTTTTTTTATCTAGACCAAAATACATGATTATATTAGACTTGCCTTCTTAGCTGAAAGATCTATAGTGTATAAATAACAATTGCTGCACTCCCAATAAAACGAGGAACGACATTAATATTGCAGCAGCCCTCTGCATGAGGACTGCAATGTTCTCAGCGCTGTTCACAGGGCAGCATATGGACACAAGATGATGATGGTTCCTGGTTCCAGGGCTTAAAAATGTCTCTTTTAAAATGAACTCGTAGCTTTTGGTGCAAACTACATTCACTGAAATAAATTAAACACAACTTAATTTGGAAACAGAGCGATGTCCATTTCCTCAAGAGAGCGATGGATAAGACAGGAGAAGAAACGAGCGGTGTGATGATCAAGATAAACGAACTAAATCTTTTCAATGAGAGATCGGATCAGGAGTTAAAAAAAGCTAAAGCCATTAAGCAGGTACAGTATTATTTTTCAGCCGTGCTAATATGGGACACGTTTGTTTGTTTTTTAAAACACATGAACTCATGACTCGATCTGAAGGCTGCTGTCTGCCTCCCACAGTGCCACGTCATTATATCCTTAAGAACCCCCTTTGTAGTTTCTTGACCTACACCTTCCTTCCCAGATTTTGAAGTCGCTTCATCCCTACTGTCTTATGAGGCAAAAGTGTTGCTTGTGCTGCGTATGCAGCATAAAGTTTCTTCGGGTTATCAATTTAATCACACATTACTTATACCACAATATCCACCTGGTCAGTGTGTTTTTTTTGTTTTTTTTTCCTGAGAAACAATTGCCTTTAAAATAGCAAATAGCCTTGCTGTTCAAGGACATCTTTACCTAGCACTGGATTTTTATTCTCAAGCTGTGATGCCAACTATGTTTGGCTCAGTTTTGTTATTAAATTGCGGGACTTTTCCCAGCAGATGGTTTGGCTCTATCTACATTCCAATTTAAGGTATTAAAAATAAAATGGAAGTCTTTCTCCCTGTATTTTGACAAACAGAAAAAAGTGGTTCCCAGTCCTCTAATTACTGCACATTTTCTCCTGCAGTAAGCTTTAGCCTTCCTAAAAGCAGCACTAAGGGAGTGGAACAATGCAGGGTCTAAGTAGCGGGGGGAAGTTTTGCTGTGGACTTAACTGGTGTGCCAGCTCCTCAGCGGAAACTTGCCCTAACCTGGACCTTTTCTTTGGGGATGAAATTCAGGGAAACGAAAGAAAGAAGCTGATGGCATAAAGGAACTCAGAGAAGAAATGGTACAGAGTTTGGGATCCATAAGAGAGGTTTTTTGGGGTTTTTTTTTAATGATTCAAAGTGTTTGCATGCTAATGCAGTTCACCACTCACTGCTTTTGAGGAGTTTTGGTGTATATAAACTTGCTCGTATAACAAGGTGACTTGGGACGTGTTCTAGGTTCTGTAGGTCTACAAGACAGTTGCAGTGGTTCAAGTGAGATATTAACTGCTTCAGGAAGTTCCTTGCAAGGTCTGCTTGATTTCTTTGAAACCGCCTTTATAGTCTTACCATTCCTAACGCTAACCACAAGAAAGTTGTAGACGGAAAAGTTTAACAATCAGTAACTCAGGCTGAATTAGAAAGTCTGAGTTTGTATAAAACCATTCAGGAAACAGTCTACCCCGGTCGCACACACCAGGTAAACTGTTAGCAAATGTGAGGATGTTTTTAAATGCAGAGCAAAATAAGTCTTACAGCTGTATGCATAAAAGATGGATGCTTTATAAAGAACATCTGAACTTATTAACTGTTACAAATATCTTAACTAAAAATGATGCTTTCTGATTTTGAGACTGTTTTGGTATTTATTAGGAGATGATGGTCGAAGATAACCTCTTAAAACTAGAACTGAACCGTCTTCGAGATACTCTCTGTAATAAGACAGAGAAAGTTCTAACACTGGAAAAACAAAAATTGGAGTTAAAGAAAGCCATAGCAGAAAGAACTGAGGAAATTAAGATTCATAAGGCAATGCTGGAGTCCCAGATAAGACTTGTGGATCAGGAACGGCAACGCATAAGGTAACTGTTCTTACAGAAATTAAACTTGTAGCTTTTCCTGAGCATATTTTACATGGGGATGTACTGAAAAAGAGAAGCATTTTACCCATTTCCACCAGTTAGAGAAATCGAGGATGAACTAATCTTGCTCAGACTTCTGTACTGAAGCAGGCAAGGCCAGCAAGCGATCCCTTCTCTGAAACCCAGCCTCCAGCTCCACCGACCCGGTGAGCAAGGGGGTCCTGTTTGTTGTTAGCGAGGATCCTCTGCAGGCCGAGAGGAAGCCTCAGCTGCAGGCATCTTCCTAAAGTAAAGGTCCCGTGCATCTTTCAGATTGTTCAGGAAATGTGAAATCGGTGTCAGGCATGACAAAATATTTGAAATGGAAAAGTTGCTTTTCAAGAGGGTTTTCTCCCAACTGCTGGATAAAACTGCGATTTTGTTGACTCATCCAGCATCTCTGTTTGGTCTGGGGTTTTTTGCCTTTTTAACAAACGAGCTCTCTGTTACACATCCTATATAACAAAACTAAATCTTCCGAATTATGTGTGTACCCTCTTAGAAAGCAACCATATATGAAATAATTTCTCCCTGCTGTAAGAATCGGCGCAAAGTATCGGGGACAGTTTTAGCTCTGAGATCCCAGTATCTATATCCAGCCAAAAATCAACACTTCAGCAGCTGAACTGCTGAAATCTGGCAGGCTTTTTATTCACTCCTCTGCTAACCACACCCCGCACAATAGGAAATTAGAGTGATTTAGTGTGACTAAAGCTTAACTGCTCACCCAGAGCGCAGACTGTGTGGCTTTTTCCCTTTGATAATTACACAGCTAATTGATACTTCCCTGTAATTTGATTTGGGGTTGTTGCCTACTGTTGCTTACGCTCATCTAGTAGGGGCAATATTAAGATAATATCAGCAGGAGGCAGCTTGTGCAGCTGGAGGATTTAAATGCCAAACCTTTAAAAAATTTTTGGGGAGGACTGTGGCGCAGCCTCCCAGGATGCAGTGGGCTGGAATAGGAAAATAAATCTGATGCGGTGAGAACTGCAAGGGAAGCGTAGGTAACCAGAAGGTTGGATGACTGAGGCTGGGAGGACACTGAAAGCAACAAAACCCAGTAGCGGCACAACCAGAGCCCTGCCTGCCTCTGGTACGTGGGCAGGCTGCGGGAACCACGCCAGTAATTGCAACGGCTCGAACAAGAACTGCCCGCGCAATGCTACCAGGCAAACGCTTTCTCAACCCATTTATTCTTTTCTCAAAATAAATCAGTGCTGAATTTCAAGATCGCCTAAATAAAATCGATAAACTGAGATGCAGATACGAAATTCTTACTGTTGTCATGATGCCACCTGAAGGAGAAGAGGACAAAACTCTTACCTACTATGTAATTAAGGTATTTTATTAAGATAATGCGTTATAATTCAAGTGTTTAAGCTATAGATTTCCCTGGGCTCTAGTCACGTAACTAAGGCAGCCTCCTTGCCTACTGCTTACTTTCAGTCTGACTGCTTTACGCTGTCTGGCGCTGTCGGTTGTCTGACCGATACAGCAATTTCACATCGATCTCTGCGGTCAGGCCGAAGGCAGTGCAGCTCTGATTTTGAGCTGTTTGAAAAATTTCACTTCAGTGCTCATTTATTGACAAAGCCACAAGAAGTGCTGGTCACGTGGTAGTCCATTATAAACTCCCACCAGGTTTATCACAGCCTCGCATGATCTCAAATTCTTCCACCCTTCAGAGTTATTTTTTTAGGTATTTATTTCGCCACGTGGTGTTCAAACCTTGAAGAATGTCAGCTTTCCCCTTTTGGTATCAATCACCTATGCCTGCTTCAGCTTGTCATTGCAGGGGGGAATCAGACTTTATCCCTAATGCAGTACTCTGATTCTGGAACAAAAATCTATTATTTCTGATCTCCACAAATTCTCTGATTTCCTGTTGAAACAGAAATGCTTCTAGCTGTGCTCTTGGCTCTGAAGTCCATCTTTTTCGTGTTAAATTTCTTAATGATGGTGTTTCTGCCACCGTGAGATCCAGCACAGCAGAGGACCCTTGGCAAAACCCCTGCGGTCGCTGTGGGTGTGCACCCTCTACAGCTGTGGAGGTTTCCACTCCCTCAGATTTTCTCAGGGGCTGCAGAAAACGCGCCCCTTCACCGGCTGCGGTTCTTAAATCTCCCAGAGCAGGTGAATAAAGACTTCCGAGCGAGTAATTCCCAGACAAACTGGCTGACTCTAACCCTCGCAGTAGCTTTATAAAAGAGCACCCTCAACTCCTACTGGGGTTTTGTGGGTGAAGGAAACTGATGTGAAGCCTGTGCTGCTGTTCGCAGTGGCAGTGCAAGGGCGGAAGCTGCTTTGTGCAGAGTGTGGGTGCTGCTAATCAGGACTTGGTGAAGGCAGAGCCCGGTAATGAAAGGCACGTGGATAAAATACCTCAAAGAATTTCCAGTACCATAAAGAATTACTCCGCCCGGTTACCGAGTAACTCCAGTCTCAAGTCAAGCCTGACAACTCGCATAAGCCCCGTACCGACTTAGGATTCCAACCCCCAAATGTTGCAGGTGGTTTTTTTCTGTGTAAGTAAGTGTCCTAATATTTTCGGTGTGAGTGCAGTCACCTAAAATACCCGTTTTATTTCCAGGCTGCCCAGGAAAAAGAAGCACTTCAACGTGAAGGTGATGATTTAGATGCAAAGATCTGCAAAGCTGAAAAAGAAATTGTAGCTCTGGAAAACACTTTGTGCGTGCTGAATAACTGCAACAGCAACTTCCGAAACTCCTTCAAGGAAGTCACCGAGACGAGTAGGTAAAATAGAAATTGCTCTTTGCTGTGTGAGGTGCGGATGAGGGTAAAACTCAGGTACATGGTGGGGAAATGCCATGGCAGAAAAGACTGAATCACGGAGAGAGACACGAAACTGATGGCAGCAAACGCTACTGCGAGCAGTTCGTCAGAATACGCACAGAAGAAAGCGCGGTAAGGCGTAATTAATAGTTATGTTCTTACATCTGATTTATGTGAAATTCTGCAAGCCTGTATGAATTTTGTGAATGGTCACGAGTAGGAGCATTCAGACAAGGCAAAGCATAAAGACTGTTACTGGGGGGGGGGGGAATTACTGGGAGAAAGGCGTGCCCGCTGAAGTATGTAGGTCTGGCAGATAAAGCTTTGCACGTACAAAAAGCACGGCTTTCTCCGTCGTGCTGCATCGCGCACAGCTGCCAATTCCAATTCCAGCCGCAGAACAAGCTGTGCCGCTGCTGAGCCAGCCTGGGCACTAGGCTGTACCCGCAGCCACTCCCCAGGCAGCTGAGGTACAGGTACGCAGAGCCCTCGCTCCGCCAGCGCTGTCTCCAATTTGCACATGGAAGGGGGGGAGGTGGTAACCTGTCACCTGGGAAAGCGATGAGGAAGAGTAAAACTTAAGCTGCACTATCTCAGTGTAGTGTCAGCAGACTTTAAAACACAGGACTCCCTAACTACAAGCTTTGGATATTGGAAATGCCTCGGAGATCTGGAAAAGACCTTCTGTTTGCGATGCCGCTTAGACTTCATAAGCTTGCTCTTCTTCAGTGCAACTTTTGCATATAAAAAGCATCACCACGAGAAATTACATAAACTTAATTTCTAGAAGATATTTGATTACTTTTGTGCCCTCTGCTGGCGCTGGAAACAGTAGCTCTTAAATCATCCCCTTGCACAAAGCCAGTCACTTTTCCGCAGTGATTTGGAATTAGTCGCAGAGTATTTAAAAAAAAAAAACCCCTTAAACGCTGAGGTCTCTGTACTACTGCTGGCCCTAAGCAGTTGTACTCCATGGTGCAGTTACTTTAGAGTGCAACTTTAAAGTGAAACTTGAGTTGTATACGCTGCTTGTCCGGCGTTAACACTGCCTCGTTGTTTGGGACCGCAGGTGAGGAGTATGAGGAGAAATTGAGACTAGAGGAGGAGAAAAGGGCAGCTGATGAAAAATACAGATACAAGCGAAGACAGATCAAGGAACTTCAGGAAAATCTCCAGGTAAAAATACAGCAAAAGTTCCGCTTGGACAGACAAGGCTCGGCACATAGCAAAACCCTGCAAGCTCTCCTGTGGAAAGAACAGGAAACTCTGGGACAAACTTTTGTCCGTTCTTTTGTATTCTATGCATTGTATGAATGAATATGGGGCTTGTTTTTAGAAGGCTCTACCTCTCCTTTCAACAGAATCGCGTGCTTATTTGGATTTTCTTGAATGACGGTGAAACTTCAGACTCGTTAGTCGCACGCAGGTGCGCCCTGGCAGGCTCTGTTCTGGCACCCAAGCCCTTCTGGTTTTGTGTGGCACACACCACGTATTGCGTAGTGCTGTCCAGTACTGCAGAGACTAAAATCCACACCTCTTGCGTCCTCTGGCATCTGGGGCCCAGGAGGGGCCCAGGAGAATACTTCCCAGTTTATTAGCAGTTTAAGCAGGATTACCTTAGCTCCAGCCAGCTAGCTGACTCTGTGCTTAGCAGGCGGAGCGCTAGATGCAGGTCAGGGGCAGCGTGTGTCCAGGCTCCACATCCAGGACTTACTCTTGGTTCTCCTTGTTACCAAGAACCCGCTTGGCCCTGAAGAAAGCCCACCCTGCACCTCTGACGTGTGGCACTTTAGTTAAGCTCTTCCTAGGCAGACGCAATCAGAGGCACCCTGTTATACCCCAGGTGGTGACTCTAAGCCCTGAGGCACTGGCTGCAGGTCAGCCGACGTTCCCCTTGCTTGTTCTGCCACCCCAGGACACACGCCTTACTTAAGAAATAGCATCTCCCAAATTAGGGAAGAGGGACACAGACACAGATCTTCATCAGGGAGTAAGGCCTAGGGTACGCTGAGGTGTTCAGGCATACCCCTTCCTGCCTTTGCATTTATTTAAAAAATAAGTAACAGAGCCACCCTCAGGCAGCTGATTTTATTCATTCCAGTCAAAGGTATCGCTCTCTTCCCACAGGACTCTGTGTTATTTTTCTCGGGATAGCCTGCACTGGTGAGTTGGTACTGTGCCAAGTAAACTGTTTGCGGGCACTGCTCGGAGGCACCCCCAGGAATACACACGGATAACTTCAGTAGTAGTACCTAAGTTACTGCTGGTCCCTTCTTACCCAGGTACTTCTCCACTGACCAGGCCGGCACAGGCCTGAGCTGTGCTAGCGTCGGCACCAGCTGCTTGAGCTACATTCCCAAACGAGTAGCAGGAACAGACCCTCCCGCCCTGTGATAGAGGAGGTGAAAGGACACCAGAAGGGCTTCATAAACTAAAACTGCTGTTGAAATGAATTTGCAGAGCATGGAAAAAAATGTTGATGCGGTGCTGCAGCAGGAGGCCCTCTTCCAAGAGCAAAAGAAGGAAAAACAAGCCCTTGTTTTGCAGCTGAACAAAGACATAGCAGAACAGAAGCCAAAACTAGAGAGGGTTATAAACCAGGTCAGTGTATGCATTGGCGACACCTCCTAACGTGGTTGGGGGAGACAGAGTAGCGTTAAATCCTCGGACTTTAAACTCGGCAGGTTTCTGGTAATGGCAATGCTTGAAAAATATTTGTGTTAAAAGTGTTCCAGGCTATCCAGAGAAATTCAGTCTCTGAAGAAAACTAAAACAGAAACGCAGGAAGAAAGAGACATTGATCTTCGCCAACTGCAAAGCTTCAACAGAAACGTCGACGGGCTGTTAGCCGCTGTGCTGGAGGCAAACCCCGAGCTGACCGTGCCTTTCCGGCTGCGCTTCCAGCAGGTGAGCTTCAGTTAGCTGCTTCCGAGGGCACCAAACCCTAGCTTCTACCAGGTAAGTGCTAATAATGGTTGTTTTGGCTTTGGGTTTGGTTTTTTTTTTTTTTTTAAAGAGCAAAGCAACAAAATTAGCCCCCAAATGTCAGAATTTCTCCCTCCTGAAGGTCTTCTCCACCTTGTCTCTGCTTCCTGAACACTCTGCAAAAACTTTCTCCGTATTCTCTCCCACCTTTACTAGATTTTTCTAGCACACAGTTAAGTTTACCTCTGCATCCATCACCATTTAAAACTAACTACAGAATAATCACACTTACTTTTGCTAATTGTGCTCTAATTTAATTAAAAAGTGGTTTCACGTCATAAAAGCACAAGTTGGAGCTCCAGCCACATAGGCAGCATGGGGTAGCGTGAGCTTCCTTTCCTAATTATAAACTAATAAAACGCATTAAATTTACCGGCCCCCTTTCCCCCTCTTCCCCACCTTTCAGCTCCTGCTGGGTGTAAGGCCGTGGAGCGGTTGCGGGCTGATGCGGCTCCCGGGGGTTCTGGAGCTGTTGGGGCAAGGAGGGTCGGCGAGGATGGTGGCCGGGGCCCTTGCCCGCAGTAGCCGCTGCTGCAGGGTGGGTTGGCGCAAGGCCG